ATGAGAATTCTTTGTATAGAGAGATGTCAGAGTAGGTTTGCTTAGTAGAGGGAACAGTATGTGCAAAGATCATAGACAGGAAAAACATTCAAAGACTGATGAGCAGTTTTATACTTTAGAGCAGAGAGAGACAGTATAAGGTTGAGCCATGTTTTTATTGGCATAGCAGGTGTAAATTTAAGAATACAGCATTGTTGTTCTCTTAAAATGGCCAACACAACATTGCCTCAAGGGAACTAAACTCATCAATTTAACAAAGTGTCTAAACTTCAAAATCCGTAATATGTTATTCATTCTAATTCATAATAATGAATACAGTTCCAGTGTTCTTTACATGAAAGTCAATTAGTTGTCCTGCCCCATTGTTATTAAAAAATCTGCATTTGATAGTGAAAAAGGAGGAAAGTCATACAAATTGCAGACAAATCAGAAGTTTAAAGAGCATCTAATATACCTACCTTTTGTAAATTTTGGTAAAACCTCTCCACCATATTTTATTTTATTTTAAGTCACAAAATTAAGGAACACTGTGTGATTGTCACTTGATGTGCCTAGCCAAAACTTTTACAGCCTTTTTTTTTGGGCCATGCTAAAAAAAGATGATCCCAATTATATAAGACAGTAGTGTGTAGAGTGAAATTTCCGGCCTTCTATATTTCAGGCTTGCTGTGCTCCTGCAGACAGTACAAAATGTCCTCTGTAGATGGTATTCACAGCCTGGAGTCCGCAAACAGCCTCAGAAAATTAAATTCCAGGGTCATGGTGTGATATTTGACTGGAAGGGAAAATAACTGCAATGTGGTAACAAATCTGAAGTGACAGAAGTAATGTATCTTCACTTCAAATTCAACACACTTAACATGGCCATCAATTAGTGTGAAGGAGAGGGCGGCAGATCATAATAATGTCATAATAATAAGAAGACAGTGATATTGGTTACAGATAGTTAACGGTGATAGATTCTAAATGACTTCATTCCATGCATTAAATGAGCACCTATGAGGCAGAAAGATTACTTGTACTTTTTTTGGATGGAAGAATGAAAAGGAAAGGAAAAGAATTAATGAAGTATAATTTTTGCCCCTCATGAATTTGCTGGGTAGTGAAAAGTTCCAGGAACTGGTGTTTGATCATGGCGCAGCCTTTGTCCAAGCCAATATCACATCGAGTAGAGAACAGGGAAAGGAAGACAGGAGTGCCTGCTGATTAGGGAAATTAGATTTCAGAATTATTTGAACAAATCGGAGATACAGCTAAACACTGCTGAAATAACAGAGAAGTAAATTTATCTACAAATAAACTGCTCTTGCAGTAAACTAAGAGATATTGTTTTATGTAAACATGATTAAAATTTACATGATTATGGCAAATCAAATAGCAAGCCAACTGACCCGAAGAATTAGGTCAGATTTAAAATAACACTAATGACAACATAAGATGAAGAACAACAGTAAAAGCTGCTGCTCACTGAATATTTGTGCTGGGGCTAGCCACCATGTGAGGTGATTTACATACATCACTCTTTTGAGTCTGAAAACTGCCTGTGAGTTGGTGCTGGTGTTATCACCATTTCACCAGCGGTGAAAACTAAGGCTTGGTGTGATCTGGTAACTCTCCCAAGTTTACAGGCTATTAAGTTAGTGAGACAAAGATTTAAGTATGACCCCAGGGTTTGTGTTAAATATCTAAAGTTTCTAAATGATCAGCTGAGACCTGTTTTTTTTTTTAGTAGTAAGGAGTCTCTAGTAACATGATGATAATATCATGCTGTGCCACAGACAAAAGAGTAGGACACCATGGGTTTTGTTTTCTCTATGGAAGAAATCATACTTGGTCCCAAGACAGTAATTCTTTACAGTGGCCCATGACATCTTAAGGGGAAGAAGTAAATTTAATGGGGCTGATGGAGACAAGCTTTTCTTTAGGTGAATAACTAAAAGGGACATGGCTTTTTTAAAAAAGATTTTATTTATTTATTTTTAGAGAGGGAAGGGAGGGAGAAAGAGAGAGAGAGAGAAACATCAATGTGAGGTTGCTGGGGGTCATGGACTGCAACCCAGGCATGTGCCCTGATTGGGAATCGAACCTGCGACACTTTGGTTTGCAGCCCATGCTCAATCCACTGAGCTATGCCAGCCAGGGCTGGGACATGGCTTTAAAAAATAAATGGTGGCACACTCTTATTCTGGATCTTTCTTGCGAGGAAGAAGCTATTTACAAGCGTTATTTTGCCTATCGGGATTCTGTTGATTTGGAGAATCTTGGCTTCTCCTTGCTGTTGTATGGAGTCTACAGAGGGTAAATGACTCTGAACTTTGGCATTTGGGAACTAAAAGTGAGGTCATCCGAGCTATCTACTGTGACCTCCCTGCCACTCCAAGTTCTCTGGGAGGGCATAGTGTCCTGATGCCAGGGGAGGTGACACTTCCTCGCATCACTTGTTCAAGAGAACCACCGTGTAGAGTCAAGTCAGTCATGGAAAAGTACCAATAAGGTCCAATTTGTGCAGAGGAATTCTGTACTGAGAGCTCTTGCTTCCTCGTAAGACACTTCTACCCTAGGAACGATTTCACTGTTGCTTCACTGCTGGGACCCCCCTTGCTGGATCTCAAAGTCCAGAGAATATTCTTGCTGCCCCAGATTTTCCTGGGATCAGCCCAGTTCTCATACAGCTCCCTGGATATTGTCTTCTACAGCTCCAAACAAGCTGGCCTGGCCAGGACACAAAGGAGCCTGGACAGTCTCCAGAAGGTCTCCAATCACTCTCTGGAGACAACTATGATTACAATTTCAGCAACAACATGGTGTTCTAAAATGCTCGAATTAGATTTAAGCCCCCCCCCCCCCAGCGCTAACATTCTATGGATAAATAGAGTTTGTGGGCAGGTCTAGGAACACACACATCCCATTTCTCTGGACAAATGCATTACAAACCCAAACAGACTCAGTAATTGGAGGTCTGGAACACAATTCATTAAAACTGGGAACAAAGTGGGAGAGAAAGATATTGTGTCCTTATTGGCAGAGCCCAGAGTCACTTGGCTGCTGAGATACACATAGCACCTTAGAGGAAAACTTCAGTTTTCTTCCACTGTTTTCGTCAGAGATCTGCGTACTCCAATCCAAGCAAACAGTTTGTGAAGTTGTTCCCCCCCACCCCAGGTTTGTTCAGGTATAAATGACAAATAAAAGTGTAATATATTTAGCTGTACAAAGTGATGATTGGAGATAAACATAATTCCTCCCATCAAGTTAATGAACATGTCCATCACCTCACAAATTTATCTTTTTTTTTTTGGTGAGAACATCTGAGTTCTATTCTCAGCAAATTATGCAATAACAATGCTATGGACTATAGTCATCATGTTCTACTTTCGATCCTCAGAACTTACTCGTCTGATAACTGACAGTTGTATGTTCTTACCAACCCCTCTCCCTATTTCCCCCACCCTCCAAGTCCCTGGCAATCACTTTTCTACTCTTCGTTTCTATGAGTTCAACTTTTTTTTTTTAAGATTCCACATATAGGTGATACCATGGGTTACTTGTCTTTCTCAGTCTGCCTTATTTCTTGTAGCACAATGCCCTCCAGTTCTTTACGTGTTGTCACAAATGACAGTGCCTCCTTCTTTTTAAATGCTGAATCATATTCCTTTGTCAAGTTTTCAAAGATGTACTGGTGATGGGGTGTACTAAGGGCAGGCTCACGCAGCCTGTTCTCTTGTTGGTGCCGGGGCGGACTCCGCACCCCATCCTTCCTTCTCCTTCCTCTAGAAGCAACAGACACACCCCTGCTGCCCCTGATCACTGCCTGTGCTCCAACGTCCCCCTCTATCCCCCTTTCTCACCCACAGCTAGGACTGCCAGTGACTCTTCTATTTTTAACAAGTGTGCATCCCTCCATAAAATAAATTCTTATAGGGCCTGCCAAGAGAATGGCATTTTATCTATTTTGTTACATGAATGACCAAGCCATATCTAAGTTTTTCAAAGAGTCATTAATGTTTCCCATAGGATTCTAGTTTCTAGGATACGGTATGTTTTGCGGTCATCATTAGTCAAGTTGGTGTGCGTAGCTAGAAAAACATCAATGTTGAGAAGCCAAATGATTTTCTCTTCCTCGAAAAATTGTCAACCTAATTCTATAGCCCTTATCAAGCACTTAAAGACAATTGCACTTAAAACTTTGTCATTATTAAGCCACTTTATTGACATTTTGGGAAAAGTGAAGGTAGGAATCCTTTTAGATATTCTTTGCATATTAGTAAACAACTATTAGTAAGGGCTTGGCTGTCTTTTCCTTTTAACCAGAGTGCACAAATTTCCTGTCAGTCTTTCCCTCCTAGTTACCACTTTCCAAAACTTTAATTGTTCCTCATGTCCCTCTTTTAACCTTTCTGCATTTAACATTAATTGTACTTAATTATGATTAAATAGCAAAAACATATACAACTATTTTGCATATTTTACTGCTTGTAATATCCCATACATATACATGTTCTAATTTGATATATGAACTTTAAGTGTTTTCCAAGCTAACATTTTGGTTATTTCCTTTAAACAACACAATTCCTGCTTTGCTAGAATTTCAGGGTATTTTCTATTTTTGTTTTTAATTTTACTGTTCCCTAAGGCTTTCTTAATTCTGTTTTTCTTGGGTAGAGATTTAGCCTCTGAATATTTAAGCCATGACTAATATATGCTCACATAGCACTTGTTAAATGAGTTGTTTTTTTAAAAATAAAACATTTGATTAATAGGTTAAAAAAAACATTTGTAATACATCAGTCCACAGCATAGTATCTAGAATTTTCTTAGTGAAATTGAATTCTAGAAATGATCTCTTTTCATATTTATTATTTAATTTATCACATTGTGGATCTCAAGGGTTGGTGGTAATAGCCAATGAAATGCAAGGCTCAAGGAAGAAGGTAAATGTTATTTGAATGCATTTGCTAGTTTTTCACTTTACATAAAATATTTTATTCTTCTCCCAGCTGTCACAATATAAGTAATTCCAAGCCAGAGATGAAGAAGTTGGGGTTTACACACACTCAAAAGTTTGGCCAAGGTCATATTAGTAAGTATTAATGCTACTTTCCCCTCCTCAGCAGTTAGATTTTTTTATTTTTGCAGAGACCATGAATTCAGAGAATGTAATTTGTTTTATTTTATTTCTGTATTCAGACCTACATTTTTAGAAGAACAATGTGCCAAATGTTGTCAAAGAGTCTTCATACAAAACCAGCTCTACAGTAAGTCTTTCTGTCCTTTTTGCTTGATCACTCTTGCAGTAGTGATAATGGCCACAATATGTTGTATTGTGCTTATCTCACAGCTTGGACACGGCTTCCATCAAGAAGGGGGGTCTGCATTCTCTCCACTGAATCTGGTTGTCAGCGGTGGTAACACTTTGTGACTTCTGATGTTAAATCCCAAAAGTGATTTTGTTCTGGTCTCATTCTCTTGGGACTCTTGCTCACTCTAGTCACCATACTTTCAGGAAGCCCAACCAGCTCTAAGAGATATCTGTATGTGGACAATGCAAAACTCAGTCATCAGCCATGCGTGACTTAATTCCCAGCCAATAGCCAGCACAAGTTTGCCAGCCATGTGAATGAGTCATCCTGGAAGTGATCCTGTTATAAAGTGCTGTGTTAAGGAAGGTACAGTGTCTGTACTAATTTCTTAGGTATGCCACACACAGGTCCAAATACTAGATGATACCACACAACAGACATATATTGTCTCAGACTTCTAGAGGCTGAAATTCCAAAATCAAGGTGTTGGCAGGGCTGGGCTTTCCCTGAAATCTATAGGGGAGAATCTTTCCTCACCTTGTCCTAGCTTGGGGGGATTGCCATCAAAACCTGGCATTCTTTGCCTTGTAGCTGCATTACTCCAGTCGTTGACCATGTGGTCACATGGTGCTCCTCTTCTCATAATGACACCAGCCCTATTTGACTTGGGCCCACTCTAATGATCTCAACTTAACTCGACTACCTCCACAAAGACTGTATTCTAAAAAGGTCACATTCACAGTACCAGGGGCTAGGACTTCAACACATAGTTTTAGAGGATAGATTCAGTCCATAACAGTATCCCCAGGAGACTGACAAACTGCACTTTGATACTGGCTCTGTCCCTGACATGTTCATTATCTAGGCAAGTCAAATTACCTCTTAGAACTTCAGTTTTTACTTCTATAAAATCAGAGCAATAACTTTTTCTGGCCATATGACAGGGAACGATGTGACTGTTTAAAGAGTTGACACATAGACACATGATCTCAAAAGCACTCCCATATGTACACTTTTAGTGACTCTCTCATAACAGGTGCTTCACCAAATGATAACTTTTTTCCTTTTATCCTAATGAAAACATGAAGTGCTTAATCTCTAAAGGATATAAAAAGCTCACGAACACTAGCTACAAAGGCAGGATCTGCGATGAGAACATGAGAAACAACATAGCTTTATTTCATTTTGATGGAGTCTGAGAAAATGAACTAACTTAGTCAACACAATCTACTCAGTCCACATGAGGAAAAGAAAAACACAAGGAGAATGTTTTAGGAGTTTATTTTAAGATTTACGATTTAGTTTTTCACTGTGACAGTCACTTTGTTTCCATAACATCCTATTCAAAAACTTTCTGGTGACCCGAATCAGTCATTTTCTCTTACAGCCCCTGTTTTCCATCCTGCTCTTAATTTCCAACTGCTCCTTGTGCTCACTGTTGATTGCCATCTGTGATAACTTGGGCAGGCATGCAACACGTTTCCAAACAAAGGGGATGGGTGGTTTGGCATTTGAGGAAGGACTAAAAAGAGACACGTCAGCCTGGAACCATGCTGGGAGGATGTGTTCTCAACAGCTTAAATGGACTGTGAATGACAAAGACAATCTTGGAAAAGAAGAACCAACTTGAATGACTCATACTTTCTGGTTTTAAACTTATTACAAAGCTCCTATAATCAAGACGGTATGGTACCGGCATAATGATAGATGTACAGAGAAGTGGAATAGAATTGAAAGTCCAGGAATAACCTCTTACACTGCAGGCAAGCTTATTTTCAACAAAGGTGCTAAGATAATTCAATAGGAGAAAGAATAGACTTTTAAGCAAATGGTACTGGGACAATGGAATATCCACATGCAAAAGAGTGAAATTGGACTCTACCTTACACCATCCATAAAAATGAACTAAAAATGTATCATATGCCTAAATGTAAGAGACACATCTATAAAACTTTTAGAAGAAAACATAGGAGTAAACCTTAGTGATCATGAGTTAGACAACGGTTTTTCTGATGTCACACTAAAAAGAGATAAAAGGACAAAGGTAGATAAATAAGACCACACAAAAATTAAAAAATTTGTACTGCCAATAATATGATCAAGAAAATGCAAATACAACCCACAAAATGGGAGAAGATATTTGCAAATCATGTATCTGATGAGAAACTTGTATCCAGAATATATAAAGAACTCTGACAACTCAATAATATAAGGATAAACAGCCCATCTGACAACTCAATAATACAAAGATGAATAGACCAGTTGAAATGTAGGCAAAGAATTTGAATAGACATTTATCCTGAGAAGATATACAAATGACCAATGAGCGCATGAAAAGATGCTTAACACTGTGAGTAAGTAGAGAACTGTCCATCAAAACTGCAATGAGATACCACTTCACACTCATTAGGGAGGCTATAATACAAAGAACAGGTAAGCAAACTTAGTGAGAGGAGGACAGTGGAAATGTCTCTGAGCCCTGACAAACAAGGATGATTTCATCAGACTGAAGGATTTTAGATTGGAGAGACATGAGTGGAAACAGACAAAAGTTCCAGTCAGCCTATTGAGGTCAATACAAACGCCCAGAGTATGAGTCACCAATCAGACAGCCTCTGCATGCCCTGCGGCCACATGAGATGCCCTGTTGCAAATGAGAGAAACCATAGCATTCACACCTAGCTAATGGAGAGGAGGCTGGCCTTGCAGCGGACCACAAAGGAGCCCATCATGTGGCTAATGACCAGGCACCTGCAGCAGGACCTGGCTGCTGGAAGATCGGATGCAGTCAGGCCACACTTGAATGGAGAGCTCTCTCGGGCCACTAAATGTGCCGGATGGTCACCTTCGACAGTCTGGGGCCATGAGTTGCCTGAAGCTCAACTGTTTTGCTCTTCCTAGGACCCTAGGGATGATGTCAAAGGTGGAAAGTAGGCAAAACCATCCAGGCAAGCTGACTAGCTCGTTCACTGACTGATCTTGAAGCTGCACATGCCAGCTGGGGCCTGTCCAACCCTGGGAGACGTCTCTGCCTTATGCCACTCCAGCTTCCAGTGGTGACAGACCTACAGCGAGACAAAGACCAGGAGGACAGGACCACCCCGGGCTTCATTAACCTGGATACCAGAGAGAATTAGCTCTGCACTGATCTGATCACTGGAAGGCTGAGTTGGGGTGAGTTGGGGTTACGTGGGCTGCATTGAGGAGGTCCTGCTGCAACATCCAGATTAAAGAGGCCAACCATTCCTGTGGGAAGAGGTGGCCTGGTCCTAGCCTATGACTTAAGGCACCTGCCCACCTTGATCCACAAAACTCGGCTATTGTGAAAGCTGCTGCTCCTCTTGCCCTGCGCTGGCTGAGGTTCTGTGTGATCTAGGTGAGGCCTTCTGACTCCAGTGCCCCAATGGCTTCGTCTTTATCTTCAGCCGGAATGTGAAAGTCGAACTGATTCTTGTTTAGCTGGGCTGTGAGGTCACCGATGCGATCCTCTGTTCCTTCCAGCTTCCCGTGGACACGTGAGAGCAAGCCCTGCTTGAGGCTAGACTTAAGAGGGGAAAGTGGTCTTGTGCTAATTAAGCCTCAGCATCCTCTCTGGGTGACATCTATTCCTGAGACGTGAGGAAGAGCTGCTTTTCCATTGCTGCTCCTGGACAGCAAGCTGACATGGTCCCATGGCAATATCTGCAAGGGTAGGAGTCTGGCTGATTCCACCTCATCTCTGTGGATGAGCCTCTGCAGCCAGGACTCGCCACGCATAGGTTCTATCGGGGCTAGTGGAGCAGCAGCAGGATTTGCTAGCGAGGCAACTGGAAGGGGCACAGAGGGAGGAAGTCGTCCGCCTTCCAACCAGTGATGTCAGCCAGGCCCCCTGCTCAGCGAGTCCCTGACATCAGCCTCCGCTCCAGGGGCTGGCGTGGGGACCTGGTGCGGTGGCTGCATGAACAGTGGGCCCCCTCAGGACTGCGCTCATCTGGCTCAGTTGTCCATCTCCTTATGCTAAGCTTCTGTCAGTTTGGAAAGCAGCAGACTTCTTTTCCGTCTTTGCTAGACACTCTTGTGTGGGGATGTTTTTAATGTGGGTTGAGGACTGAAAGGTTAGAGAATGAAGGGAACTCTCTAGGTCCCTGTTTGTTTATTTTTTAATGTGTTTTATTGATTATGCTATTACAGTTCACCCATTTTACCCCTTTATTCCCCTCTGCCCTGTACCCCTCTCACACTCGCATCCCCCAATTTTAATTTGCTTGAATCGTACATATAAGTTCTTTGGCTTCTCTATTTCCTATGCTATTCTTAATGTCCCCCTGTCTATTTTGTGCTGACCATCTATGCTTCTTATTTCCTGTACCTTCTCCCCCATTCTTCCTGCTCCCCCTGCCCACTGATAACTCCCCCCGCCCCATGATCTCCATTTCTGTGAGTCTGTTCCTGTTCTGGTTGTTTGCTTAGTTTGTTTTTGCTTCTGATTTTTTAAGTTTGGTTGTTGATAGTTTGAGTTTGTTGTCATTTTACTGTTCATAGTTTTTTATCTTATTTTTCTTAGATAAGTCCCTCTAACATTTCATATAATAAGGGCTTGGTAATGATGAACTCCTTTAACTTGACCTTATCTGGGAAGCACTGTATCTGCCCTTCCATTCTAAATGACAGCTTTGCTGGGTAGAGCAATCTTGGATGTAGGTCCTTGCCTTCCATGACTTTGAATATTTCTTTCCAGCCCCTTCTTACCTTCCAGGTTTCTTTTGAGAAATCAGCTGATAATCTAATGGGAACTCCTTTGTTGGTAACTGTCTCCTTTTCTCTTGCTGCTTTTGAGACTCTCTCCCTATCTTTCCCCTTGGGTGATGTAATTATGATGTGCCTTGGTGTGTGCTTCTTTGGGACTCTCTGAGCTTCCTGGACTTCCTGGAAGTCTATTTCCTTTGCCAAATTAGGGAAGTCATCCTTCATTATTTTTTCAAATGAGTTTTCAATTTCTTGCTTTTCCTCTTCTCCTTCTGGGACCCTTAAGATTTTGGATGTTGGAATGTTTAAAGTTGTTCCATAGGTTCCTAAGCCTCTCCTCCTTTTTTTGAATTCTTGTTTCTTCATTCTGTTCTGGTTGAATGTTTATTTCTTCCTTCTGGTCCAAATCATTGATCTGAGTCCTGGTTTCCTTCCAATCACTCTTGGTTCCCTGTACATTTTCCTAATTTCACTTTTTATAGCCTTCAATTTTCCCTTTATTTTGTGACCACACTCAACCATGTTTGTGAGCATCCTGATTACCAGTGTTTTGAACTCTGCATCTGCTAAGTGGGCGATCTCTTCATCACTTAGTTGTATTTTTTCTGGAGCTTTCATCTGTTCTTTAATTTTTTTTTCACTCAGACCCAAAGTCTCAACACTCACTAAGTGAACTACTATTGATGAAAAATATGTTCTTTCATTTGGGCTGTACATATATAAAAAATATATATATAAGGCCTGGCTGGCGTAGCTCAGTGGATTGAGCGTGGGCTGGGAACCAAAGTGTCCCAGGTTCAATTCCCAGCCAGGGTACATTCCTGGGTTGCAGGCCATAACCCCCAGCAACCACACATTGTTGTTTCTCTTTCTCTCTCTCTCTCTCTCCCTCCTCTCCCTCTCTAAAAATAAATAAATAAAATATTTAAAAAAAAATATATATATATATATTTTTTTGTCTCAGCATGCCTATTAGGTAGTAAAAGGTGGAGCCTTAGGTAACTGCCAGAGTGGGGCAACCTACAAAGCTGAATTTTGTGTGTGTTGGGGGGGGGGTCTGAGAGGAAACAATGCTGCTTGCTGGGCTCTTGGCCAGGTTTCAGTCACTTCCTCCTCTACCCACAAGCAAATTGGGTTCTTCTGGTGCTGTTTCCCGGGTGGGAGGGTTTGTGTACATTCTAGGACCCTGTGAGCCTCTCCAATGAGCTCTCCTGTGAGGCTGGGAGTTTCTCCCACCACCACAACCCCCGCAGGTGTTTTCAGTCGGAGGTTTGAAAACTGAAGCTTTATTTCCCTGCACTGGAGCCCTGGGTTGTGCAGCCTGTCTTGCCCCCCAGTTGTTCCTCCCAGTTTACCTGCATGCCAGTGTGGGACCACAAGTCCTTCAGCTGCCGCCTTGCTACGAGTCCCCTCTACCCCGACTGCCCGTCTCTGCCCCACCTGCAGGTCTGGATGAATGCTTCTTCTGGTTGTTGTTTGTTTTTGAATTTCTCGTTGTCCTTTTGCTTGTGCGAGGAGACACAGTGTATTTACCTATGCCGCCATCTTGGCTGGTGGGTCCCCATTTAGGTGTGTTTATTTTTATATTTAATATCGAATAAGTTTCATATTCTTTCAAGTTCCAGGCCTATTTTATTTCTTGTTGACATTCTTTATAATCACCTTTTGGAGGTAGATGATTTTTCTTTTGCCTTTCATTAGATTCTAAGGGGGGGGCGGTATGTGAAGAACACTGTGCAGGGCAGGCCAGACAGGGCGGGAAGACGCGACCCCTAGTGATGGAGTGTCCCAGGTGTGGGCCGCATGCCCCATGGGACCCCGGGACCCCGGCAGGCTCACACCCACCTCGCCCCCTAGTGGCTGGGTGGCGGGACAGGGATATGATTCCGGATGCCCTTGCGTTCTTGCTTGCAAACATGAGTTCTTTCCACGATTACCTTTTCAAAAGGCTTTTAAAGTAACCTCTGGTGACAAGGACTTCCCAGGGGCTTCCATTTTCATCTCCGGTGTGTTGTTCAGACCACACCACACGTGCACTCTGCTGCCAAGCCCTGCGCCCCTGAGCTCAGTCTGAGCGCTGGCGCTGGCGAACGGGCAGGGCAGAGCAGGGACTGTCACCGTTTCACAGACGGTGCAAGGGGCTCACGCCGCCAGCGGCTTTGGTCAGTCACCTGGGCTTGGGCCCGTCCTCCCCTCTTGGGTCTAGGTTCGGTGGTTCTTGCTCTTCAAGGACTTTTTTTTTTTTATCAACAAAAAGCAGCATACCAGCAAATTCTGATTCTTCAAAATGTTTGACGCTAGACGAGGTTCCTTAGAAATCGAGTATGGAGAATAGAAACCCGAAGGAAATTCGCGGAGAGAATGAAAGAGCCCGTGGGACCAGAGAGGCTCTTGAGGTCTGTGCGAGGGGACTTGGCTGGCGGCCTCCTCAGGGCACCGTCCCCGGGCGGGGAGGGCTGGTGCCTTCCGTGGCCGCCGCGGACGGGTCGCTCTTCTGTCCCACTCAAGATCCAGATGGCGCCGCGGGCAAACTGCCATTTCCCTCTCTACACACGTGGAATCCTCCTTCATTTACTTAGGTCTTTAGTTTCTCTCAGCCGTATTTCCATGGTTTTCAGTGGAAAAGGCCTGAAACACATTCTGTTAAACTTATTACTGTATTAGTTTTTTTTCACGTTATTTTACACGTGTTGTTTATTCATTTATTTTCTAACGGCGGCCAGCATATTGAAGCAGTTGATGTTTGTATATTTATTGTGTCTTGTATCTAACAAGAATGTTGAAGGCTCTAACCAACGTTTTGCTCTACGTGCAAACTAACAGGTCTCGTGGATGCTGGTGGAAGGCAAGAGAATTCTGGGTCAGAGACCAAGGACAGCTCATTCCTCACAGTGTCAGCAGTAATCAGGGTGTAGCTGTTGCTCCAGCTCCCCGGGGCCCTGGTTCTTACTGGGCAACGTGAAGAGGACCAGGTGGGGCCTGAGCATGCAGTGGGGTGTGGTGCAGGCAGCGAGCCCAAACTTGAGGGACCTGATTCTATTACAATAAACAGTGAGCCTGCCTGAACTTTGGCCCTGAGGGACGCACTGTCTTTGTTGTTCTGAGTACTCAACAAAGCTATCTTTTGCTCTGGGGTTGGGGGGAAACACTACCACTATCATCCGTAGCTGCTTGTTACATTATGTGCGCGCGCACACACACGCATACATGCACATAAACACACATGCACATACATAGACATGTATGTACACACACATGCACATTCACATGCATATATGAATATACATACATACACACATATACATATAAATACACATACACACATACATATACATATTGAAAAGATAGCCTAGAACAAAGGCAGTCAGTGCCCCTCCTTACAAGATGGTCAGAAATCTTAGAGATTTAGGAAGAATCATTTCCTGACATTATCTTGCGAAATTGTTAAATTCACTTATTAGCCTAGTTTGGGAGGAAATTTTTAAGTACACAATTATATTGTCAGTGAATAAAGATAATTTTCCTTATTCCTTTTCAATATTTTTGTCTTATTTATTTTTCTTTTCTGATTGCATTTCCTAGAACCTCCAGCATAATGTTGAGTAAAAGTGATGAGACAGGACATTCTTATCTTGCTGTTAATCTTAACAGGATTGAGTTCCGTTTGTCACTCTTAGGTATATAACTGTTAGTACCAGACACAGAGTTTCCTTTCCATCCTAGTTTTCTGAGAGTCTTACCATAATGGGGATTCAATTTTGTCAGATTTTTAAAAAGATTTTATTTATTTATTTCCAGAGAGGGAAGGGGGGAGAGAGAGAGAGAGAGAGAGAGAGAAAGAGAGAGAGACATCAATGTGTGGTTACTGGGGGCCATGGCCTGCAACCCAGGCATGTGCCCTGACTGGGAATCGAACCTGCGATGCTTTGGTTCGTAGCCCATGCTCAATCCAGTGAGCTACGCCAGCTAGGGCTTTGTCGGATGTTTTTATCTGTACCTCTAGAGAAGATACAATTTTCTATTTTAATTATTAATATGGTAAATTACATTAGTTTTCATTAAATGTTAAATCAACTTTATATTCCTGCAGTAAACCCTATTTGGTAGTGATGCATCATTCTTCTACATATTGTTGGATTTTACTTAGTATTTTATTAAGAATTTTGCATATAGTTTTATGAAGGATATTATTCTATAACTTTCTTCTTTTGTAATGTATTGTTGATTTTGGTATGACGATAATACTGGCTTTACAAATGTTTCAAGAAGTACTCCTTCCTCAATTTTCTGAAAGTTTGTATCAATTTTTTTACATTTCTAAATGTTGGTAAAATTCACCTACAAAGCCAAAAAAAAAAAGATAGTCAGTACCAAGTGTTCACAAGGATGTGGAGAAGGTGAAACCTTCATAATGGCTAGAAGCAGTGTAGATGGTACACCTACTCTGGGAAATGGCTTGGCAGTTTCTCAAAATGTTAAACATAGAGTTGCCATGTGACTCAGGAACTCCACTTCTAGGGATAGACCCCAAAGAAGTGAAAACGTGTCAACACAAAAACTTGTGCATGAATGTCCACGACAGCATTAGTTACACTAACCTCACACAGGAAATCCAGTTGTCCACAACCAACAATGGATAAACACAAAGTTGTGTATCTGCACAATTGAATGGAACTTGGCAGTAAGTAGGAATTAAGTGCTGACAGTTGCTACAACGTGGATGAACCTTGAGAACATCATGTGAAGTGAAAGAAGCCAGTCACAAAGACCACGTAGTATATGATTCCACTTGTGTGTGTGTCCAGAATAGCCAAATGTACAGAGCCAGAGAGTAGATGCATGTTTGGTGAGGGCCAGTGGGGGTGACTGATGGGCCATGACCGCTAACAGGCAGAGGACTTCTTTTTAGGCTGAAGAAAATGTTCTAAAATTAGATTATGGCAATGGTTACACAACTCTGAATATACTAAAAATCCACATAATTGTACACCTTGAATAGCTGAATTATATGATATGTGAATTACGTCTCAGTAAAGCTGTTGCAATATGCTATAAAAAAAGAACAATAGCATATAGTTTTTATAGGATGATCAGAAAGCAGAATGTGAAGAAGTCATCTCTAAACTGAGTTCTGAAAAATGCCCGGGAAACAGCTGGATGAAGAGTGAGGGGAAGAAGCTGGCAGACTGTGACCACAATGTAGACGAAGCCTGGAGTGGAAAAGATCACTCGTAGTAAAGGCTGCATCAGACCCGCTGCCACCAGAGCCCCCATAATCCCTGCCTTGACGTGTATACTGTACAGCCTCCTTCTGTTGAATGAGGGGGAGACTCGTGACTTACTTCCAGCCACCGAAGTTAATTCGAGTTAGTCAACACCAGATTATCCTAGGGGGTCCAACGGGATGAGAGGCAAACTCGTAACATCGAGAGATTGCTCATCGAGAGAACCTGTCTACAGAGATTCTCTCTCCACTGCTGTCTCCTTTAAGTTTCCCTTGCCCCTCCGCTCTCACAGCAACGTTTCCTCATAACGCTTGGACTCACATGTCTTAGAGTGACATTCCCAAAGGTATGAGAGAGATCGTCCTTGGACTTCAACAATCCCTGTTTTATGGAGAAGGATTCTGAGTCCAGTGAGGCGACCCAAGCGTTTATACCCATTTCTTTTCTTTTTTCTTTTTACCTGTTGTCTAGATAGTTGTTATA